TCATGGAGACTCCGGTAAACCAAAATCTCTCTTTCCCCCTTGATTTCTCTCATCTTGTTGCGTGCTTAGTTAATTTCTTTCAATTTCAATTTCGTAGATTAGCTTAGTTTAATTCAAACCCTCAAATTGCGAGTAGAATGTTTAGGACCTTTTCGGTTGTGTGATTTTGACGACTAGGTAGTGAATGAAGCTCCGAATAGCCTTCCTTTGAGAACGACCCGAGTCGGGTAGCTCGGTTACCACATGCCCAAAAATATACTAAACAACTCGTTCACTTGCCAACTCCTCGCGCACGTGTGCTGCCGCCATTCCTAGGCCTCCGAGGCCTAGGCTACCTTTCGCGTGTGCGCTATGCGCGCCTCCCGCGCATTTCGCGTCTTTGTCGCTGGCGAACGCCAACGTGTCCCAATCGACGCCCGCAGCCTGATCGCCTACGGTGCATCCCCGTACATTGCTTGCGCCCGGTATCTCGACGCCACTCCCTCGTGAACCATCTCGTCCCTTTGACCCATTACGCGCATCAAGGCACGATGCGCGTTCTTTGCTCGTGCTCGCACCCTCGTCGCCAACCGACCTCAAGTGCTCGCCCGATGACCTTGGTTCGCCCTGTTGGTGTTATATACTTAAGCTTTGCTTTAGTGGATATTACACTTGTTATTCCTTGATGAATGAGAATTATGTTTGGTGAAATAAGTTCCACGTTCTGTTGTTTTGCATGTAGATAAGTGGGTCGTCATCGGGCGTACCGAAGATCACTATATCAGTTACTTGCGAAACAAGAATCGTTGGTTCACAACCTAGATGGAATTGAACAACCCATCGGAACGGTTGTAGTGTCAACCGTACGGTTTGTCTTGACCGATTAGTTGCACTAGTACATTTATGTATTGAACAGGATCCCAGAGAGGGATGTTCGTTTTATACTAATCGTCGTAAACGAACTAGGCCTCAGTTAATTATTGCGTGCTCTTAACCCGTAAGATATTAAATTGGCATGTGCACATAATTGTTGTTGCTTTGATTCTTTGGGTGAGATCCAAGCCGGATCGACATACTTAATGAATTGGGTAATAATGCTATGTGTTCGATGTGCTATTAGGATATTTACTGTCACCATGTGCGTTAGTGTGATGATGTCCCCGAAGTGAGTTCATGAAGGAATATTATGCTAAACCCTGCAGGTGGATTTATTCCGGTATAATATGAATGCAATGAGCGAGCGCTAGCTTCGGTAATATAATATATTAATTAATTCTTGATTATTAGTGATCGAATTAATTAATGGACATTATATCTTAAACATGGGGAGGTAAATCGGATAATTATAATAAGGAGTCTCAAATGTAATTTGAGATAGGTGAGGGGAGTGCAATAATATTATTGTGGTGGACTTTAATATTATTAATATATTAATTGTGGGGTTGCTCCACAGTATTAATATATTAGAAGCCCTTATCCTATTCTCCTTAGGGTCCCTACTGTAGCTCTATATATACAGCATTAGGCTCATGGAAGAAGAGAAGAATCCCACAACTGGAAAAACGTCACGCCCTCTCTTTCTCTCTCTTCCAAGGAGTTCTTCTATTTCTTGTGCTCCACTGATACA